ATATCATGGATGGACAATAACTGCCAAAAATAGGAAGAGGCAAAGAAATATACCTTAGATAATCAGATAGAGCAATGCTCTGTGCGTAGAACTGTGAGAGCAAAATTTTCTGTGCTTTTACTGACTAGTTTGAAACTTAGTTATGGCAACATTAGGAAATAAATATGATACACAGTGTACACTTGATAAATCGATTTATTATGCTTAACAATTTTTTATTTCAATTCACATAGAGCAAAGTAGGAAAATCAAAACATTCAGAGAATACCTGCCTAGTGTTTAAAAATACTAATCATTAATCTCAGATGTGTGTTGTTCTTGTAAAACTATTTGATACAATTTTCTCTTTGGAAAAACTGCAAATTATTAATGAGTCAAATTATTTTTGAATTCCAAAGCAATAAATTAGATAATTAAAGTAGCACATAATCTTTGTAATATACACTTATAAAAGCCCATTGGACATGTGTTTGCTTTTCCTTAAAAAATGTTGCTACATGTGTAAAGGATTTTGGAGTAAGAAGAATCATCATGAAAAAAGAAAATTCCCCATCAAACCTGTAGATAAAGAGAAAAAAATAATTTCATTATATTTTAACTACAGTTTCAGTCATTGCTAATGACCTCATACTTTCCTATTTCTAAGTTATATCTCAACATATTCCTTGATGGCTGATCAACTATTCACAAGGAGCATTTGTTGCCAATGAGTTCCGTCTCAACCAAATAGTATTACCCCCACCAGGCCCAAATTCTGATTGTCCCTCATCTGAGTTCTCTCCAACCCAGCCCCATTTAGATATAGCCTACACATTTCACCCACATTTCTCTGTCCAAATAAATTTTTTATATGTTTAATTGGGAAAATATCTTCAGCTATTACCTAATCCTTAGCAAGCCTAGTTTTAACTCTCCACCAACTCATTAATGGCAACAGGGAATTCAAGTTGAGTAAATGCTACTAGTACACTTAGTATAATTGAGATCCTCTGGAAATACTGAAATTTCTCAACTGTAAGACAATCTTCTATCTTCAAAATTACTACTTTATTTTATAGTGAAATATTTAATTTGAAAATTTAATAATGTCTTTGATAATATTGACTTCCAAATAAATAACTTGATAATATTTTCCTATTTTCTTGTTGGTATTATATGTTAGAGCATTGTTCTCTATCCTAATAGTTCAAGGCAAAACTTCTCAGGCGATAACTTATGAATCATGTAGGGACCTTACTAAAACGTAGATTGTGATTTCATAGGTGTAGGGTAAAGAAAATATCAGGCTTTTCTGCCCTTCCGCCATCAGGATAGATGATGGATCCTTGTCCTGAATGCATGCCTGATGGCGGGCACCTGGAATAGGGTGTGGGCATAGGTAGATGGGATTCAGCTGAGCTAAGACTGTGCTTTTAAGGGCGGCGTCATGGGGGGACGCCAGCAGCCCCAGCCAGCAGCAGCAGAACCTGAAGGAGAAGCCGAAGCAGAAGCAGAGAACGCCAGAGAACGCCAGAGAGCCCAGATAGAGTGAAGACTTGCTGGGGGCTGGGGGGCCTGCCAGCCTCCCAGTCCCCAGCCAGCACCCCTGCCTGCCATATGCCTGGTGAACCCCAATAAAAGACCTGCAAAACCACTGAGGACTCTGACTCCTCCTTTACCCGGTCTGCATGGGATCAGAAAACCTGCACTGTGCCCAGTCCTGACCTTACAATTGGCGTAGTCGGCAGGATCCATGCAGACGGGTATTGGAGCCCTCCGAAGACCTGGAGGGACTAAGGAGAACAGACTTTGCCTGTGACGACGCTGGAGGCACCATGGCGGTATAGAAGATGGATACGTCCACGAGCTACAGGATGAGACCTGGCGTGAAGGAGACGCCCGAAAGGACCAGCCAACGACACTGGAAAGGACCAGCCAACGACACCGGATAGGACCAGCCAACGACACCGGAAAGGACCAGCCAATGACCCCTGAGGCAGCAGGCCATTGCTGAAGCAGGGAGAGGCCAATGGACTGATAGACTGATGAACTGATGATTTTGGACTGACAATCCTGCCAGAAGGCGGAGGACCTTAGCAGGTTATGTTTATTTTTTGAGAATCTGGGGGTGGCCAGTGGGCCTAGATGGCCAAAAGCAGCCTGTGTATGCCCAGTGGCCAGGTGGAGGAGAAAAGCCAACTAAGGTGGCAAAAGCTGGTACTGATGCTAAGTTGAGAAGCCCTAAAGCGGCTGTTAAGCAGCCTGGGTATGCTGAAGCCCTGTGAGTCTCGTAAAATCACCTATGGGTGATGCCCTGCTCATTCTTGAGTGAGGGTGAGGAGCTGAGGAGCCCGTCCTTGGGGGACGGGTGGGGAATGTGACTTGGGGTGGAGCCCAAGCCAAATGCAAAGTTTGGATCCCCAACCCATGTGCTTGTGCAGTGGGTTGGCTTGAGAGCAGGGGTCTGTGAGTCGCATGGGTGGCCATGAAGGCCGAGTGTTGGAGCGACTGCAGACAGAAACCCTGAGGGTTGGCGATCACCCCCAACAGAATAAAATTGCCAATCCCAGAGCTAGTGCATCCTGGGGGTGGATGCTGTGTGTGCCTTGTAGCCGAGACTACAGCCAGAGAAGGCCAGGAAGCCTGACGGCTCCTGGTGTGTTATAGCAGATGCCGTGTGTGATTTCCCCTCCCTCGTATGAGCAGTGCCTTCGGCAGCAGATTTGGTGGCTCATCTGCTGGTACCAATAATTGTCTTTTGCACTTGGTTGGTGCCCTGCCTGGACTTATTTGTGTTCTGTTGTATTTTGTTATGTTGTATTTTGTTATTTGATGTATTTGCTTTTGTGGGCCATGGCTGCATTGTTTGTTTGCTTAGAAAATTGTGTATATATGTATAGACTGTATGGCAGAAAACCCTGAGGGGGTGGACTGTAGGGTAAAGAAAATATCAGGCTTTTCTGCCCTTCCGCCATCAGGATAGATGATGGATCCTTGTCCTGAATGCATGCCTGATGGCGGGCACCTGGAATAGGGTGTGGGCATAGGTAGATGGGATTCAGCTGAGCTAAGACTGTGCTTTTAAGGGCGGCGTCACGGGGGGACGCCAGCAGCCCCAGCCAGCAGCAGCAGAACCTGAAGGAGAAGCCGAAGCAGAAGCAGAGAACGCCAGAGAACGCCAGAGAGCCCAGATAGAGTGAAGACTTGCCTGCCAGCCTCCCAGTCCCCCAGCCAGCACCCCTGCCTGCCATATGCCTGGTGAACCCCAATAAAAGACCTGCAAAACCACTGAGGACTCTGACTCCTCCTTTACCCGGTCTGCATGGGATCAGAAAACCTGCACTGTGCCCAGTCCTGACCTTACAATAGGTCTGGCTGTGGCTTTGGTGTCTAAATTGCTCACAGTTTCCAAATGATGCTCCAAGGATTATATTTTAGTAGGAAAAATTATAAACAACTTTCAGAAACATATTTAAGGGTGGGACCCTCTTTAGTCACAATTATATACAATTCTGATCAAGTGTTTTCATATGTCTTTTAATAGTCTCAATTTCTACAGGCAGATAAGTGGCATTATAATACCTATCACGTTCATGAGAAAATTCAGGTTTTGAAAGCTAGAAGCAGTTCAAAGTCATGAAAATGGTGTTGTCAGGAAAAGGATAACACAGCATTCCAGTCCTCAAAGCTCACTATCTTAGCCAAATCATGATAAAAGTTGTTCATTTGGAAGCATTTAGATAAATAATTACATTTCATGAGAGCTATACCAGACTACACTTCTTAACTTGGGGCTGATTGTGACTTGATCACTTATTTACAGTTTTTTCTTGATTTATCTGTCACCATTGCTACTTTGGAGAATATAAAATATCATTAGATCTACTTACACCTGTCATTATATCCTGAGGTTACCGAGGAGCATTTTAAGCATAGGGATAACGATTTGGATATCCTTCTGGATAAGCATTGGGATATGGATAATTTGGTGCATTTGGATATGCTGGATATGGATATGCTGGATATGGCTGTCTCTGTATACAAACAAAAGGAAAGAGAAAATTAGAAAGAATTAAAAGAATAACAGTGCAAATGTAAAAATGGAAAAGTATCTGCATTTTTACTATTTGCTGAAATGTTTCTTGTTTTATAATGCACATGGTTGCAACCAATCTAAAAAGTATAGCCAATCACTCAAATAAAGATCAAATTTTCTATATAAAATAACTTCCAAATTACTACCTTGCTCTTACTTAAATATTTCAGAAAGAATAAATTCACTCATAATGTGAATGGAGTTCCTTCTGCCAACTTATAATGAATTTCCTATATCATAAAACACCTATTCAGTAATATTTATTTCATCCCTCTTCTGCATCTTTTTATTTGATGTCATTTTGAAGTTATCTGTTTACTCTAGTTTGAAGAATTTTAGACATTTTCACATTGATATGACATGTCAAAATAAGATATCAAGGATATATGAAAAAAGAAAAATGGTCAATAAATGAAAAGTTCTATTTTTATTTAAAATCATCATTTTAATTTAAAGACTTCATTACCCTTCAAGGTGGAAACTTACCATATTACATGCACTACGATTTTTTAACCTTATATTTTATGTGAGAGTTAGAATTTGAAATATTCTGTAGATCAAATCATATGTGCTTACATACCAAATTAAGATACTTAAGTTCTAAGAAAATAACTGGTGTATTCAGGGCTCTTTAAAAGTTTCTCTCTACATGCTACTACTGTACCTAAGATTTTTAAATCTTTTTCAGTGCATTATGAACAGATAAAATTAACATGTAATTTATTTATTCATTAAGTGGATATATTACAGAGAGGTTTGAGTCTTCTTATAAAATAAGAAATTCTGTATGTACTGTACCTATCATCAGGCAAATACTTACATAGTAATTTTCCTTTCTCCTAGGTCTCTGTTAAAATAAAAACAACAAAATAAAATTTAATGCATGGCTAATTCTCAACTACTCCAGTGAATGAAAATGCCTTACCTCTTCTGATGATGAATCAGCACTCTTGAAAAAAAGAAAAGAAGAAATGTTAATATATAATTTTTACTTCTAGATGAGTATAAGCATGTACATAACTCCCACAATTTTCATTTACCAAAATGGAGAAAAAACGTGAGGCAGTGTTGTTTTTTTTTTTTGTTTTGTTTACAAACATCTTTTAAATGAGTGAAAATGCTGTAATTAATTTGCTGCATTCAAATATCAATTGAATTTACTCAAATTTCTTTGGTGCATGAAAGGGAAAATCTCTAGCATGAATTGTAAGAGACAGTCAGAAAAAAAACCTATATTTTCTCAAGACAAATGTTTTTTACATGGGTATGATTTAAGTAGCTCTCAGGTTACTTGTTTCAAATATATGTTGTACACATGTAATCTGGTGTTATCTTTTACTCAGTTTTTCTTTGATCTTTATTTTTCTGCTTCGGTGCTCTTTCTGTGATACTGTCTGATATCATGATGAATTCGTTTTGAACTACCACAAGGACTGCTTGGACAAGTTGAAGCACTATTATTTCCTGATGCATTTCTCAGTAACCAAAAAAAAAAAAAAAAAAGGGAATATTAAAGTGAAAAACGATCAGTAATTTTAACAAGAGAAAAAATAAAGTGGAGGAATGAAATGGGGATATGACAGAGGTATGGTTTAGGGAGGGACAGGTATGGCTTAAGAGGACAGGTGTTTTACCCAGTGACACTTAAACTATGTTGCAAGCCAGAAACTCCTGACACTTGGTATGTGTAAAGTTTTTAATATTTAAGTGTCTATATGAGCCTCCCTTTCCCATGTTAATGAAATTCTTTTAAAAATGTATATTTACAGCAAATTAATTTCTCTGACATGTCTTTGTATGCTTACCTTGAATCAGAATCTGTGTGTGTGTGTGTAGTGTACCCAAGATTTGTTCTAAGTGCTTAATGAACTTACATAGATTAGTTCAAGGAAAATGTCCATATAAAATATTAAAACGGCAAATCCATGTGCAGGTTAATGTGAATACATGTCAGAACTCAGGAAATGAAAGATTTTTGTATAATTACTTAGAACATATTCTTCAACATTCCCTGTTATACTTACAATCATGGCGACCATGAAAGCCATGATGAAGGTGAAGACAAAGATCTTCATGTCTGGCCGAGTCCTGTGAAAATATACTTGGAAAATTAGTAGCACTTCCATTTCTGCACTCACAAACCAAACATTTACTGATCAAACTATGCCATGAAGCTTGGTGAAACGTACTAGAAATACAAAGACAGCTTAAATAAATTGCCTGTCCTTGGAACTTAAAAATGAGTAGGAATCATTAGTAAAAGTAAATGTTCTAATATTGAGAGTTACAAAAATGTTTAAAAACATACAAATGTGGTGGGTATACAGCATTGACAATCCGATGGGGTATCATAATGGTATCTTTGTTAAATTAAATAAAAATATGAAAATTTAAAAAAGGAACAATTATGCAGATAAGGTTATAGAGAGCAGTAAAGAAAAGAAAAGGTAAAAGTTGTATTCATTGTGGAAGCCCTATTCCCCTATGTGTTGTAATAGGTGGTGGATCCTTTAGGAGATTATTAGGTGCATGAGGCTACAGATCATTGGACTACATTCCCCATGGTAAGACTGGTGTCCTTAGACGTGACACTATTTCACATTTCTGCATTGAAGATATTGCAAAGGCCACATACAAGCCAGGAAAAGTGTCCACAACATCTATCATCCTTACAGGTCTCAGAAATAAGAGAAATACACATCTGTTATTTTAGCCACCCAGGCTACAGTATTTTCTTCAGGCAGACTTATCAATAAAAATATCTTGCATTTTGTGAAAACACAAGCTCAAAGGAAATTGCAGATAGAAAAGTCCACAAGAGGGTTGAATATATCTATCTAAATGAAGGAAAAGGTCCAGACTGGAGCTGAAAGTTTGGTGTAATCAAGTTATTAACATTCACTAAAAGTTTATGATCATTCTGAAATTATAAGGTATAAGACACACACTTTGCACCCTTAACCCACACAAAAAAAATCTCAAAATAGATCACAGACTTAAATGTAAAACCCAAAAATTTGAGGAAATAATACAGGAAAATCTAGCTAACCTTAGCTGTGGTGCAACTTTTTAGATATAACACCAAAGGTATGATCCATGAAAGAGAAATTTGGTAATTATACCTCATTAAAATTAAAATTAAAATATTTTGGTGCTTGGAAACATACACTTGAAAGAATGAAAAGTCACACACTGAAAGAAATATTTGCAAAAAAAATTCATAAAGACAATGCTATAAAACATATGAGGAATGCTAAAAACTCAAAAATAAGTACAAAAACTCCAATTAAAAATGTCTAGGCAGCTCTCCCGTCTGCTTTCTGATTATGTAGGTGCCTATCTTTTTCATCCTTTTCATAATAAATCTGTTCTTGTAAAAGACCCTAATATAAACCTCATCAAAGAACATCTACTAATGGCAAACAATTATATGAAATGATGTTTTACATCATTTGTTGTGAGATAAGTGAAAATTAAAAGAAAAAATATACTCACCTGTAATGGGCAAATGTCATTTGACCAAAATCTGGATCACTAACTAGATCAAATGCTCGCTCAGTGTGTAACAGCGGGAACTATAAAGCAAAAGATACAGCCACTGTGGTAAGAAATTGTGGCAGTTATTTAAAGTAAACATCTCTTTAGCATCCCATGCAGCATTTGTATCCCTTGGTATTTACCCAGAGGCATGGGAAGCTTATGTCCAAACATATAAATGCACAAGGATGTTTACAAAATTTTATTCATAATTGCCAAAAGTTACAAACAAGCAAGATCCTTTGGTAGGTCAGTGTATCAGGAAACTGCAGACAATGGAACATTATTCAGCACTGTGGAAAGTGGGATGCAAGTCATGAAGAGACATGGGGGAAATCTAAGTGCATACTACTTAAGTGAAGGGATATAATCCAGAAAAGCCATATACAATGTGATTTTCAAATATATAACATTCTGAAAGGCAAATCTTTGGCGACAATAAAAAGATCAGGAGGTGGGGGAGTTTTGGGAGGAAGAAAGGATGTACAGGTGGGGTTCAGAGGACTTTTACACTAGTAAAACTTTGAAATTACAATAAGGGATGCGTTATATGCATGTTTATATTTTGCATATTCACATATGTATATACATATACATATATACCTATACATATGCATGTGTATATAATGTTATCTATAGATGTATAGATGTTGTTAAACCAAGTTTATGCATAAAATACACTTCACTGATTCTTAAATTGCCCTATAAAAGTACATCTGCCGCGATTATAAAGTTTCCAATTTTTCAGGGATTGCTCCAAAACCATTTCCCAGTGTTACAGACCCTAATTTTATAGATAGGCTGTTTATTTTAAAATGCTTGGCTGAGATAAAAACATTTTTCCGTTTTCTTCAGTATAGTAGTCTTATGCATTTTCCCCTTTCAAAACCAGAAACACAGGCCTACCAATAGGCAGACTGCAAAAGGTTAGTTTCCTTTTGGTTTAAACTCTTCAAAGAATTACAAGTAATTCTACGTTTGCAAAAAGAGTTAGACAGAAAAATGCTGATTTCTAGAAATGATAGCATCTATCTCCCTAAGAAAGAAAAAGAACTGAAAGTAATGAAAACCAAATTTCTCCTACCCATCTTTTTTTTTTTAAATCTTTTTTTAAAAAAAAAAAAAAGATTTATTTATTTATTTATTTATTTATTTATTTATATAAGCACTGGGTACAGTTGGAAGCACGGGAGGGTGAGAGAATTCACCAGAGCCAGAGCGGGGAGCAGAGCAGACAGACTGACGAAGGACACTACTGAGGGGAGCAGCAGGCAGCAGGAGAGGTCTGCATGCCATGTGGAACCCTCACCAGGTGGCGGGGGATGGAACCGGTGCTGCAGAGGCTGCGGACAGCTTCACAGCCCAGCTCTCAACTGCTGAACCACCGGGGAGGCCTGTCCTACCCACCTTTGATGCAGTTGACCTATGAAGAATGACCATATGTGTAAAGAATGGAATTCTCTTTCATTCTCCATCTCTCTCACTAATTATTTAACAAGTTATTTCTTAAAATTTGTTTCATCTCTGTTTAATAACATTTAATATAGAAATTATGATCAATACATTGTTATTGCTCTGAGGTCTAGTAATTTTCCCCAAACGTTCCTGGGTTTCAACTTTTGAAAAATGAGTTTAATTGTTTAGAGTTTTAATTTATAAAATACTAGAGAAACTTCCTCCCTCTTTCCTTATAAAGACAAAAGTTGATATTAATAAGTACTATGTACTCTGCCTCCTCCAGCTGAAATAAATAACCTCAGAATTCCACAGGGATTAAATTATGACTAAGAAAATTTAACAGTCCCCCTATTTTCCTCGGTTTGTTCATTTGCAAGCTTTACAGGAGCCATGTATTCTGCAATTTTGGCCTGTTTCTACCATTGTCTAGTATTGTAATAAGCTCACAGGTCCACATGCTCGTTAACACCAAATATGGGAAAGCACAATTTAGAAAAAACATCTCTATTAGTGAATCCTTAAGGACGCTTCAGTCAAAAGGAAAATACAAATGCTGGATGTGTTCACTTGCATAGAATACGGAGAAACGAATTAAGGAACTGACAAAACTAAACCAAAGCAAGCCCTGGAAGAAGGACTGCAGCACTGACGCTACTAGAGGGGGAGGTAGAGTGGGAGTGGGAACAAGGAGGGGCCACAATGGTCCATGGCAAAGAACTACAGGTGCTTTGATGGTGGCTGTGGTGTTGCAACATACATCCGAGGAGGTACGAACCTATTTCCCTTAACTGAATAACCACTGATAAACACAATGTTGTCATCACTGTTAACTCAATAAAAAAGTAAAAAAGAACTAAATAAATGTCAAAACTCTAATTGTGTTTGAATTTTTCTAAATGTTTCTATTCGATCATACAGAGTATGTGTGAATATAAAACGTCAGAATATTTGAATCATATTTTATCCCCAGGAGAATTGCCAATTTTTGTTTCTTTCTTTGTGTTCTGTATAAATATGCAATAAAAAAATCCCAAGATATTACTAGGGTTGGTTTACTTGTGTATTTGTGTGGGTGTACATGTACAGTGTTTTGTAATATTGTATGTTGACTGAATTTTTGACATTCTGCACATTTTATAAAGTCATTTAATCAACCAGAATGGGTCCATGTACAAATATGTATTAGTAGGTGTAGTGCCAGGATGGGCACTGAGCAGGTTATCTATGATCCAGCAGACGGGTACAGGGAGAGTCTTGGAGCCCTCAGTGGCTTTTTTCAGGCTTGTATTGAGCTTTACATACATGGCATCAAAAGTTGCGATGCAGTTGACCTATGGCAGGCAGGGATACCAGGAGGCCAGGAGGCAGGCAGGCCTCCAAGCCTCCAGCAAGTCTTCACTCTGGGCTTCTCTCTCCCTCTTCTGGCTTTCTTTCTCCACTTCTCTCTCCTGTCTCTCTCCTGCTTCTGCTTCCTCTTGGTGACTATCTCAATACACCTCCCATGGCCCACAGACTTAAAGAAGATAGTTTGTAACAATGTAACAACTGCAGGTGCCCCATCAGGCAGGGCAATCGTAATGGTGGGAGGGCAGAAAAGCCTGAAAACCATTTATCCTACAGAAGGTTATTGACTAAATTCATTTCACAAGAAAAATGGCTGAATTCATTTCACTAGAAAAATGACTACATGTCATCTAATGAAAAATTAAATGCAACTGTTACTTTGAGCCTCTATCTAGAATCTTAACCTTGAATATCTTGCCTTTATTTTGTTTTAAGAGAGACATCTCTGTACTTTGGCATCTGCGCAACTGTCTTATCCTTTGTTGTAGATGAATGTTAGATATCTAAGATACAGCTGCCCCATTTACTAATAGAGGGCACAAACACTAAATTCTATCACTCAACTGCTAATTTTAATAAATTGGGATTCCCTCCCTTCAAATTAGAGCTCCTTGGGGTTATTATAAAGTTAGAATTCGTCGAGATTTGAAACGGACCAGGTAGTAGATAATACATGAGATCACAATAAAGCCTTTACATCTTTTGTACTTTAAAAGTTTTACATAAAATGTACATTTAATATAATCCATTTTAACTTTCCTGTTTCAACCAACTACTCTAAATAGGCAATATCAAATATTTTAATGCTCAGAGTATAAATTTTATACTGATTAAATCAAGAATTACAAGGACAATGTCAATACATTCTAAGTCTAAATATTGACAACATGATATAAAATTATCTGCATGTATATGAGGTAAAGAAATGAAGATATTTGATATAGGGGCTCTTATGGTAAATCCAGGGTGTATACTTACAGTAGGTCACGTCATAATTATGCTTATCTATGTTAATAGCTTTCACACTAACTTCAAATAAGAGTTATGTTTTTCCCTTCCATTTCATATAGGCCGTGTTTTCAATAACTTTTGATTTTGTGTTTGATTCTTCAATGATATATAAAAAAAAAAAGCACAGAACAGCCTGAAAGCTATCACAGCACACAAAAGACCTTGATATAGTCAAAATACAATATTAAATCTTTATTGGATAAAGAAAATGATTAGTATAAAAAATACTGAGAGAAAATGTGTGATCACCCAGTGTTTTTTTTGTGATGACTTATACTAGAAAAAGCAGGTACAGGTATTTATATTATAGTATAAAAATTTCAATACTTTCTAAATTATGATTTGGTGTAAATCATTTAATCAAAATAAGAAATAAATATGCATTAAAAGTATGAAAATAGTTTATGATCTCTATTATGGGATTTTATTATTAAAACTCTGATATCTACCTATCAAGGTAAAGAATAAACAACAAAATCCTACAGTAGTTATTATATATTCACACTGAAAAGAATTTTAAATAGTTTTTTTCTTATTCTCTCAAAATACATGTGTGCAACAAGGAATCATTTCTGAGTTATAAACTCAAACTCTGCAATATATATGATAATCCCTCTTACCTGCCAAAAGGAATAACTATAGAGTTTCAAGCTGTATCACTATCAATGTTGCCTTGAGAACAAAAGCACACATTATGGCCCAATACCATAAAATAAGGTATTTTAATCAAATAATATGTTGTCATTTCACACGTATAAATGTGAATTTTCATTCAATCATTTCATAATGCTAGATTTTATTAAGCTATTGCACAAAAGCATTATAATTTGCCCACTATTTGGATCTGAAATTCCTTATTGCCAAATTAAAAAAAAGGACATCTTTCTCATTTCAAAGTTCTATGTTGCTGTATGGGAAGAATAAACATTCTATTTACATTTTTCATTTGAGCAAACAGCTAAACAGTCAATGATAATAAAAAAATGTAACTGACATGATTACATTATGGAGATACATAGGAAACTAGTCTAAATTATGTTTGGAATTCCATATTTGAAATGTGGTACTCTAAAATTTTAGAATTTGCTGCAAAACAGAATTTATGAAATAGGTAGGACATTTGATTCCATTTTGCTAATGAATAGAAAGATGTAAATAATTGGGAAGAACAAATAGTAT